CCCGAACCTTCTATAATTAATTTCATTCCTATATTTCCATCTGTTGTGCAACAGATGTTTATACCTCTCTATAACTTGATATTGGGCTACAAGTAAATTTAGGGGTTGAAGCATTCTCATTCCACAAGTATGGTATTATTATTATTATTATTATTCATTATTCATTATTATTATTTATTCCACATCCTTATTTTATTTAATGCACATTATTTTATTCCACATCCTTATTTAATGCACTTATTATTTTATTCCACGTCCTTATTTAATCCACTTATTATTTTATTTCCCACCCTTATTTAATCCACCTATTATTTTATTTCCCACCCTTATTTAATCCACTTATTATTTTATTCCACATCCTTATTTAATCCACATATTATTTTATTCCACGTCCTTATTTAATCCACTTATTATTTTATTTCCTGCCCTTATTAAATTTAATACAATTATGGTTTGGTTTGGTCTTTCAACCTCACTATCTTCTGCACTTTTCCACAACATAGTTAAAAAAGGGGGGGGGGGAAATACAAGCTAGAATTAAAGCCCTGGAAATCACATATCATCTCTTCTTTTTCCCTCCCACAAAGGATCAGATGGATTTTTTTTTTTCATTCACAGCCCTAAGCAGAATCAGTTAAAATATAACCCTGAGACCAGGTATGAGTTTCCCTTTGCGATTCTCATTAATTGGGCCATTGGTTTCAATGGTTTTTTTTTTTTTTTTAAAAAAAGAGCAACACCAAAAGAGCCACGGAAATAAATTGCATTGATCCGGGATACAAGCAGAAGTGAGAAAAAAAAAAAAAGCTTTCTGCCCCAGGGCGACTAAGCAGTAAACTGGTTCTGCTTGAACTCGTGTCTTTTCTTTCCCAGAATCCTTGATGTTTTCCATTCTTTTGGCTACTCTTCTTCTGACGTTCTCCTTTTCCCAGAAGATTATTGGTGCAGTACCTTCATCCAGACATCAACCATTACAGTGGGTATCCCGCTACTCACCATTGTTTGCGATGCATACTAAAAAGGACAATTCTCAAACAAACCACATAACCTACCACGTAACCCTTTGTTCCAGCCAGGAAGAACTTTCAGTCTGTTCCTTTTCCCATGACAGAAACTTTCCTAGTATGGCAGACTTCCTGTCCGTTCCCCTCAGCTGTTCCCCCTCTTCCTATAGCAGCACAATGAGTACTAAACAAATGCCGAGTATTGGGACAATATTTTCACATCATTGTTCGGTATCAACTTTTGACGAGTTTTGATGCAGTTGAGCATGAGGTTCCCCTATATTTTGTTAACACCTAATCGACGGTGCAGGACAACAAGCAATGGATGGAAACCAATCAGAAAGAGATGGGTTAGAAATAAGGAGGAACTTCCTGATGGCGAGAACAATTAATCGGTGGAATGGCTTGCCTTCGGAAATTATGAGGACTCCATCACTGATTTAAGAAGACATTGGACAGCTGTTTGTCCAGAATGGTATAGGGTCTCCTTCTTGAGCAGTGAGTTGGACTAGAAGATCTCCGAGGTCCCTTCTGACTCTGTTATTGTGCTGTTAACATTGGGAGTAGCATATTTCTAGCTTCTCAAGCTGTATCCCCTGAAGAAATAGCGTGTATGACATCACTGCTCTAGAACCTTTCCTTTCAAGTATTCTAAGCGGCCTCCAATCCAGACCATTTCTCCAGGTGAGCAAGGAGACAGTCTACGGAATGTCCGATCCCAGATTTTTAGATATCCCAGCTGTCATCTTTGATAATGGATCCGGACTGTGCAAGGCCGGCATTGCTGGTGATAGCGCTCCAAGGTCTGTCATCACAGCCATCGTGGGCCGTTCAAAAGCCAAAGCCACCATGCTTGGCGCAGGTCAGAAAGAATATTACATTGGGGAAGAAGCTCAGTCCAAACGTGGCGTTTTATCCTTGAATTATCCCATCGATCATGGCATTGTGACCTCCTGGGATGACATGGAACGGATCTGGAGGCACGTTTATGACTGCGAGTTGAGGCTCAAGTCCAGCGAGAGGCCCGTGTTGCTGACCGAAGCCCCTCTGAATCCCCTCCAGAATCGGGAGAGGATGACTCAGATCATGTTCGAGAACTTCAAAGTCCCAGCGATGTACGTAGCCGTCCAAGCCACCTTGGCACTCTATGCATCAGCACGTACCACCGGCATAGTCATGGACAGTGGCGATGGGGTCACCCACACAGTTCCCATCTACGAAGGGTACTGCTTACCCCACGCGGTCTCCAGGTTGGACGTGGCCGGGAGGGACATCACAGAATACTTCATGAGGCTCCTTCTGGAGAGTGGGCATTCCTTCGTCAGCACGGCCGAAAGAGAAATTGTGAAGGACATCAAGGAGAAGCTGTGTTATGTCGCGTTGGATCCCGTCCAAGAAATGAAAACTAAGCTGGAGTACCTTCTCAGAGAGTACAAATTACCCGACGGCAATGTCATCCAAATTGGGAGCCAACTCTTCCGCGCTCCTGAGGCCCTTTTCGCCCCCACCGACATCGGCATTGATGCGCCGGGCGTCCACCGGATGGTCTTCAACAGCATCATGAAATGTGACATCGATGTCCGGCGAGATCTTTACGGCAATATCCTCCTTTCGGGCGGATCAACGTTGTTCTGCGGGCTGGATGAGCGCATCCTTCAGGAGATGCAACTTCAGGTTCCTCTGGGGATATCAGTGAGGATCATTGCTCCTCCGGAAAGGAAGTACTGCGTGTGGATCGGGGCCTCCATATTGACTTGCTTAACAGCGTTCAGGCAGATGTGGGTCACCTTGAACGACTACCAAGAATTTGGACCTGGCGTGGTGCACCGGAAATGTTTTTAGGAAGAATCGTCTCCCTTTGTCAATGAGTTAGAACAGTGGAAGTTCAAATAATTAGCAGGACATAGAACGTTCATGGATGACACATAATTCTTTGAACTTCTGTTGTTGTCTATCCAAAGACAGATTTCTCATATGTCTGTATTTATATGTACTGTATATATGAAATCTGCCTTTGGGTGTGTGGACTGGCTAGAATTGTCGGTAAATAAATGATGGAGTCACAGATGTAAGGACCATGCTGCATTTTCTTCATTGTCTTTTGTTCTTCAGAAACCCTATTTTGCTGTCCTTGCTTAATAAAGAGATAGGATGGACTTGCTTCCCGCAGCGACTGAAAATGCTGAGGTGGGGAGGGCCAAAGAGACAAGACAGGTTGGTAGGTGGGCGTTGATAAATTATGCTCCTGAAAATAAACAAAAGTTGGGCAGAAGGAGGGCCGACTTAATTTCCTCCCTTCTTACCAAATTGATCTGAGACAAAAAATAAAATGCATTTTATAGAGTTTTCACTGATTTTTGCTTCCTACAATGAACAGCTCTGTAAATCTAGTGCTTTTCCAACACAGGGTGCAACCCTCCTGATCACCAGTAGGGGGGCAGCAACAAGGAAAGACACCTCTGGTCTCTTGAAGGCCCCCTAGTGGTCATTCTGATTTTTTTTGCAATTTTGTATTGCAAGAAGAGAAGGGTAGAGGGACTCCTGCTTGATTAAGAGCGTGAACTAGAAGGGGCCTTCCAATCCTATTGTTCTGTATTCTAAGAAACCCAACAACTGAAATAGCAGGGATGGAGATAGAGAGAGACGAGAAAATAGCCTTGTGTTCTTGAGATGTTTTGGACTTTATTTCGCATTCGTGGAAGAGCTCATGTTAAATATCTGAAGACCATCTCTGGTCAAGATAGTGGATCTTGTCAAGGAGAAAAGGTGAAACCCTCTTTGTCTTTATCAAAGTATCTCTGACATACCTCTTGAACTTTCTGGTCCCATCCTAAATATTTGAAGAACCTCTCTGAAGAACATCCAAGATAGCGGATCTTGAAATCTCTGAAGAACATCCAAGATAGCGGATCTTGAAATATCTGAAGAACATCCAAGATAGCGGATCTTGAAATTTCTGAGGAACATCCAAGATAGTGAATTTTGACTGAGAGAAGACTTGAAATCTTTATCAAAGTAGCTTTGAAGGATCTCTTGAACTTTCTGGTCTCCTAGAGACAACTCAACAATTGTTAGACAGGACCTCATTGATTGTGAAGTCATGGCTATGGACCATTTTTCCAATTTTCTCAAATGGGAGAGACTGTGGAGGTTTTTTGGTTGTTGTTTTCAGACTGATAAAGTGTTTTTATTCCCAGGAAACACTCAAAAATACGTCTCGGACTCTCCTAACACTCCGATGGCCAGGTGCTGAACAGATAGACGTTATCCTGAAATGGGCCGAGAAGGTTTCACATCTTCAGCTCCCAAGACTCGCATTTCCAGCTCCCAAGCTGTGATCATTGACAATGGCTCTGGGCTTTGCAAATCGGGAATTTCTGGAGAAATTAACCCACGTCACGTCATGGCCACCGTCCTTGGTTACCCCAGAAGCAAGTTGCCTCTTTCCAAGGCTAAACAGAAAGAATGCTACGTGGGATTTGAAGCCCAGCATAGACAAGACGTCCTCTCGTTGACCTATCCCATCGAAGCGGGCGTCATCACTTCCTGGGACGAGATGGAGACCGTCTGGAAGTACATCTACGACAAAGGGTTGGGGGTGAAGGCCTTCGAGAGACCTCTGCTGATGTCGGAATCTCCCCTGAACCCAAAAGAGGACCGAGCCAAGCTCACCCAGCTGATGTTTGAATACTTCAAGGTCCCGGCTTTCTATCTCTCCATCCAGGCCATCCTCTCCCTCTACGCTTCTGCACGTTACACGGGGATTGTCATTGATTGTGGGTTCGGTGTCAGCCACGCCGTCCCGGTGTATGAGGGATACTGCCTCCCGCACGCCGTCTCCCAGCTGGGCCTGGGGGGCCGAGACATCACCCAGTTCCTGAGGGAGCTTCTTCTGGAAAGCAGGCAGTACTTCTGGAACTTCCCGGAAGCCAACACCGTTGTGGAGGACATCAAGGTCAAGCTGTGTTTTGTGGCCTTGGATGCCCAACACCGAGAGAGCAAGCCCTCCGAAGAGCTCCCCAAAGAATATAAGCTTCCTGACGGCAACAGGATCAAGATTGGGGACCCCCTTTACCTGGCCCCAGAGATCCTCTTCACTCCGAGCAACGTCAACCACAAGGGCCAGGGCCTCCACAAACTCATCACCCACAGCATCAAGAAATGCGACCCCACCATCCGTAACGTGCTGTATTCCAATGTGCTGATCTCGGGAGGGTCCTCTCTTTTCCCAGGTTTGGACGAACGGATGTTCAAAGGCCTGGAAGCAGAAGCCCCGCAAGGCGTCCCCATCAAGGTCATCGCTCCCCCAGACCGGTGGTTCTCGGCATGGATCGGGGCGTCGATCATCACCTCCTTGAGCACCTTCAAACAGATGTGGGTGATGGCTGCCGACTACCGAGAATATGGGCCAAATATTGTCCACCGACGGTGCTATTGAGGAAGGGGGAAACGGGAAAATGTCTCCTGTTTTTGGCTCAGAGCTGAAGGCAATTCAAAGAAAGAAGAAAAAATAGCCAGCGTTTCACCTTTTTCCCCAAAAGGTTAAATAAATAATTGATTTTAAAGCCTGAGAAACTATCTGGATTTGATGCACTTCCTGCTTGGAGATCTTAACAGATAGCAGATAGCAGATAATCAGAGTTGGAAGGGACCTTGTAGGTCATCTAGTCCAGCCCCCCTCCCCAAGCGGGAGACCCTACACCATTTCTGACAGATGAGAGTCCAATCTCTTCTTGAAAGTCTCAAGTGATGGCACTCCCACAACTTCCGAAGGCAACTTCTGTTCCATGGGTTGATTGTTCTCACTGTCAGAAAGTTTCTCCTTATCTCCAGGTTGAATCTCTCCTTGTTCAGTTTCCATCCATTCTTCCTCGTCTGGCCTTCGGGGGGCTTTAGATCTTAGTCCATCCCCTTCTGCTCAAACAGGAGGCCCCATACCATTCATCTGTCCAGTTTCTTCTAACTTTGGACTGTCTTCCTGTAGCCCCAACCCATCCATCCACCCTTCCTGTAGGCAAGTTCAGACAACAAAAACTTTAAAGGTTTTGAGAATACCATTTATTATTGTAGGGTTTAACAATAGAATCCTGGGAGCCTGTCTGAGTTCCTCTCTACTACGTCTAATGCCAAACAAAAATTAAAACAAGGTTCTTTTAAGTTTCTCAGGTCTTTGTCCTGTCTCAAGAGCAATATCTTCTAAGCCACCTTCTCCACTAACAGTTCACTCACCTTCTCACCATTCCCGGGCAATATTTATACACAGATTTAGGTAACTGAATAAGGAAAAGCAGCAAAAACCAGCCTGGGGTCTGGAGTTTCTCAGTAGTAATCCCAAAAGGAAAAAACAGGAGTCATCTACAACATATAGTATCATGAGACCCCAACAGCCACAAGTTAAGACAAACAAGCAGAAGATTATTAGCAGAACGCATCAAGACTAACTAGCAGTGAGAAGTCATGACGAAAACTCTTTAATTTCACAGCGTATGGACTGGGTTCACCACAAGTTCAGTTGGAACCATCCAAGACCAAGCCAGATCCAAAAATGCAGAATTTCTAGAAGCCTGGCTATAGAGCAAACCCAACTCTTAGTCTAGCACTGATGATGTTACCTAGTTTGGTAATGAAACATCTGCAAGTACAAAAACCAAGCTCAGAGAGCACCAAGGACCCTTCATTTCAACCCTGAGCTACAAATATTAATTTTTTTTATCAGTTCTCTCTGGAGTAGTTTGCTTCTTGCCTCCAGGGTTAGATTCGTCCTTACCTAAATAATATTTTAGATGTTGATGGCTCTTCAAGGAACAGTCAATGCTGCAACCTGCCATCATTTCAGATTAAAATTCCATATAATTTGGGGGCTTGGGTTGCTGTTATTGATGGAGAAACACCTAGAATCCGCCAGTGATCTTGCTATTACTGATTTTTATTTTCATTTGGTTTCTCAGTTGTCTATCCAGAGGTTAACCTAGGTGGCCATCAATATACTGGGCCCATCTTAGCACTTCCATTGTTCTCTTTTGATGTCATAGCATTTTTCTGATGTCAGCCTGAAGGTGCTCTCCATTGGCTGACCACTGAAAATCAAACTGAAAGCTTATGAAACATCTGCAAAAATTTAACAGAGAAGGCCACAATCCAATCTAACACCACAGAGGAGCAATTGTGAAGAAATTGAAACCAGTGAGCTCATTTCTAGGACCTGAAAGCAAGAAGCATCATGGTGCCCAACATCCTCGGCCACCGGAAACCTCTTTCGTTGAGCCTGATTCAGAAAGACAACCAGTCATAACAATTATCTCTGAACATCCCACGGTTGGATGCTTGCAATCTCTCCAAGACAAGTCTTGACTATTCGGAGAAGACCTTGCTTCCAGAAATATACGTCCACCCGTACATAATACGAGAAGCCGGTTTTGAAAAGGGAGAAGAAAACCCGTTTGTGATCTCTGAAGGATCTAGAACCTAGATGGAGGCAACGTTCTGTCCTACTTAGAAGAGCGAGGAAAAAGAGTCATTGCAAATTCCGCTCGTCGGATTGAAGATGTCTCAGTTGAAAACCGCGGTCATTATTGACAATGGGTCAGGACTCTGCAAAGCGGGTTTCTCTGGGGAGGAGGCCCCTAGGACCATGGTGGCAACAGTTGTTGGCTACCCAAAGACTCGGGCGATCATGTTTGGCCCTGTTCAGAGAACGTGTTATGTCGGCAAAGAAGCCCAAGCCAAGAGAGGAATCTTATCTTTTAAATACCCAGTGGAGCATGGGATAGTGACTTCTTGGGATGACATGGAGAAGATCTGGAGATACATCTACAGGCATGGACTCAAACTAAGAGCCAAGGAGAGGCCGGTGTTGTTGACCGAAGCACCTATGAACCCAACGGCAAACCGAGAGAAGATGACGGAGATCATGTTTGAGCATTTCCAGGTTCCGGCTATGTTTGTAGGCCTTCAGGCTTTGATGGCCTTGTACGCCGCTGCCCGCACCACGGGGTTGGTTTTAGATAGCGGCGCCGGCGTCACGTTGACCGTACCCATCTACAAAGGCCACTGCTTGCTCCATGCCATCTCCAGGATGAATTTTGCAGGGCGGGATATCACCAGGTATCTCTCCACCCTCCTGCTGGAGAGCGGGCACAACTTCCTGAGCTCCGCCGAGAAGGAGATTGTGAAGAACATCAAGGAGAACCTGTGCTACGTGGCTCTGGATTCAAGTCGCCCAAAAGACAGAGCGTCCGTCCGCAGATACATCCTCCCCGATGGCACGCCTGTGGAGATCGGGGACCAGCTCTTCCGTGCTCCTGAATCCCTCTTCAACCCGACGGATGCTGGAGTTACGGCGCCGGGTATTCACCAAATGATCGCCGAGAGCATCTCCAAATGTGAAGGAAGCATCCACCAGGACCTCTGGAGAAGCCTTATCGTAGCGGGAGGATCCACCCTCTTTCCAGGTCTCAGCGAACGTCTTCTCAAAGAGCTAAGAAGTCTAGGCCCTCACGGCCTGCCGGCCAAGCTGGAAGCCCCAGCAAACCGAATACATTCCGTGTGGATTGGCGCGTCGGTGCTCACCAGCTTGCCTTCGTTTAAGAACATGTGGGTCACACGGCAAGAATACAGAGAGGTTGGCTCCACGGTGCTGCAGAAGAAATGCTTCTGAGAAGAATAAATGGGCCAGTTATGAAAGCCGCCGTGCCACCCCTCCTCATCCCACCCTCCAAAAAAAATTTGATTGGAAATGCTGGCGAGGGGCTAGTAAACCTTTCCACAAAGAAATCCGTGCCTTGTGGCATTTTTTGCAGCGTGGCAACAAAAGTTTCTTTATGGGAGAGGCAAAGAAAGAAGCCTTGTGGGCTGTATTTGGACGACCCCTGTTTTAATGTATGTTGTGGGAGGGGGAGAGTTGATGTCAGTAAGAGCGGGAAGCTGTCAGATGTTCAGTGCAGGAGCAACCAAGAGAATTTTTACTTCGAGGCCCGTAAGCTTTTTGCCACTTGCCATAAACAGGTAGAAGATTACACAAAAGTATGCCAGTGTTGGAGGGTGGGTGGTGGAGATGATCTAAGATAGATAGATAGATAGATAGATAGATAGATAGATAGATAGATAGATAGATAGATAGATAGATAGATGAGAGAGGGAGGAAGATGAAAAGGAAGGAAGGGAAGGAAGAAAGGAAGATGCAGGGAGGAAAGGAAAATGAAAGGGAAGGGAGGGAGGGAGGAGGAAAGGAAGGAAATAATAGAAGGAAAAATGAATGGGAAGGAAGGAAAAAAGAAAGAAAAGTGATGGAGGGAGGAAGGAAAAAGGAAAAGGAAGGAAGATGAAAAGGAAGGAAGGAAGATGGAAGGAAAGGAAAATGAAAGGGAAGTAAGTAAGTAAGTAAGTTAGATTCTCTCGGAGTAAAGTTCTGAATGGATCTACTCCAGGGGTAAATTGAAATTCGCAGGAGCTATAAACAGTTTCCCAATTCTGAAATTTCTAGATTTCCCTTGGAGGAAAATGCCAGGTTGGGGGGGGCGAAATCCGCTGACACATGTCAACTCCATAATGAACCCGCCATTGCAAAGCAGAAAGGATCAAAGTGGACAAATTGACATTGACAAAGTGACATTTTCTATATTGTTTCATTTCTGTGTTGTCTTTATTTTTGATTCCCTGTTCCCTTCCGCTGGCTTGCATGCACTAGACTAGCAGATGGCTACAAATATTGCAACCAAACAAATAATCAGTGCATATTTAGAGAGCTGTTAAGAATCCGATTCAGCTGCCATTCCTCTCGGTCCTGTTTTATTTATTATTATTATTTATTTTGTTTTTTTCCCCCTCTCTGGCAGCCTGCTGAAAACCCATAAACAAATGCGATACAACTGTAGTTTGTGTAAGTATTTTACAGCTCGCTGACTTCCATATGAGCAGGATTTACAGGAACACAAAGGGCTTGACTCCTGCACCAATCGCTTAATGCGGGAGACAAACATAAAACACACCGCCTTGGAAATTGGACCCAATTGTGGAATTTTGCACAGAAATCCCAGCTAATGCAGACAGAAGGATGCCATTGTCTTGATTTTGCACAGGGGGAAAGAAACTAAATTAACTGCAGATCCTCCTTGTTTCGTTTTTATTTTACGCTGCCTGCTAAAGTTGAGCTTTGGTTGGGTTTAGAAAATGAACACACCCAGATGTGTGTGTAAGTGGTTAAGATGGGTGGTGGTTTTTTTTTTTTTGAGCTTTAGTATGATCAACCCCCCGCCCCAATAAATTTATTAAAGGGTAATAATCTGCTTTTGAATCTCCAATTTGCATAAAAAGCTTAAGTGGATGCAACTTCACATGCCATTTGCATATAAATTTATAAAATTGTCATTTAAATTCATATAAATGTATATAAATTGTCATTTGCAGCAAGCAACTTCCACTTACACAAAGGAGATGCGACTTACGCAAATTACATACTTCTACGCAAATGGCGTAAATGTAAAAGTACCTGAGGTACTTTTTACAATATTGTCCATTGGGCGAGGAGGTACCTTTTACACAACCATTTACCCAAATGGCGTTAAAATCTGAGGCCTAAAATGGCCTTTAATGAATACTGGGCCTCTAAGGGTACCCCTTTTCTTCCAACCAGCCAGAACATCAAGATTTCCCCCCTATTTTATTAGAAAAAGGGAGGCCTCTGGGACTTGAAGAGGGCAGCTGCCATCACTTCTGGAACTGAGGCCTTTTCGGGCCTAGTCACAACAGAGACCCCCCCTCCAAGCCTCAGGACTTCAATTCCCAGAATTCTCATCCATGGCCATGCTGACTGTGGCATTGTGGGAGTTGAAGTCCATGGCCACCTGGAAAATGGCTCCAGCTTTCACCTGGAGTGTAGTTGTGAAGAGGAAAAGGATCTGCTTCCGTCCTAGCTGGTTAGAGGGTGTCAAGCTTCACCAGCCATTCAAACGAAACCGCAAACCCAGAGTCAAGAAGCTCTTCCTGGAAGATGGCAGTCAAAGCCTCCAGGAGAGAAAACCCACCTGGTTTTCCGAATGTGCCTTTAAGATGTGCTCAAATAGTGCCATTTTGGCCTCCTGGACACCTTATGGGGGGGAACTAAAGGCCTCAAAATGTTTTACAGGTCAAAATAATCAACCAGCCACATTTGTGGACCTTGTTTGCAACCCCAACCACAAATAAACCTGGTTTGCTTCAACTGGGCAAGCCAAATTGGAAGGCCCCCAGCTGGATGACTCCATAAATCCAAATGGCAGCCAGATTCAGACAGAATTTCTGGGGGTTGCAGAAATTAAGCCACGGACTGGAGGCTTTCAAGACTGGACAATAATTTAATTGGGATGGTATAAAATCCCCTACCTTGAGCAGCGGGTTGGACTAGAAAACCTCTGAGGTCCCTTCCAAGCCTATGATTCTATGTCCTAGGGAACTGGGTTTAATGTCATGGACAGTGGCCCAAGGGAGAAGGCCAGGAGATGGACTAACCAACATCTGCAGAGCGCAAGAGGCAACGTGGACCCAGCTGCACAACAGAAAGGATCCATTCTGGAAATGAGGACCTCTCCATGAACATACAGGTAGCTTTATCCTTCCTATCTATCTATCTATCTATCTATTCATCTATCTATCATCTATCTATCCATCCATCCATCCATCCATCTATCTATCTATCTATCTATCTATCTATCTATCTATCTATCTATCTATCCTTTCTCTCTATCAATCCTTTCTATTCTATCTATTCATACAGCCACCCATCTTACGTTTTTGCCTGGGGCGGCTTACAATTAAAACTGATTTTATTCCTGATTTTTATCAACAGCAGCTCACACACCTGGCTATTTGATTGTTCAGCTTCGGGTACCAGAAATAGCTGCAGTCCATCTCATAAATATTTGGCTGCAGGGATGACGGCTCCCAATCAGTCAATTAATCCATTATTATTACAGTCATCAACCAACATTAAGAGGATGGGGTTTTGTTTTTAGGAACAGACATAAAAATAGAATGGGCAGGAAATGGGTATATAATAGCCACATAAACTGCTAAACATATGCATATAATAAATATATGTTTATAAGGCAGAGGGCATGAAAGGTACCAACGGCGAGAATATAAAGTATAAAAAATGAAATATATCAGGGAAAGGGTGAAAGACACACAAAAGGGTGAATCTAAAAAGGATTGGAATAAAACTGGTGTACATGGTCTTTTTCTGGCAATGTTTCTTTCCCCAATAACAACAACCCCGCGAGGTAGGGGGAACGGAGAAAGCAATGGGTTCAAAGTCAAAGGTAAGCTGCCATTTGAAAACTTTCTGAATTCTGTGTCTAATATGGCAATTTCACCAGTGGTGTTGCCGTGTGGCAGGTTTTAAAAGAGCCAATTCCTACTTCAGCCTTGCCCAGGGTAAGTTAATTATTTATTATTTCATTGTATATGGGGTAAGTTGTCATTAGTACGTTATGCATGGTTTAAAATTGCTTTTCATTGGGCTGCGTTGTCATGATGGAATTTTGCTGTCCAATTCTTTTGATTGTCTAATTGTGTGTGTGTGTATTTGCTAGTTCAACCCAGGGAGAGAATAACAGAAGGGGAAATTGACCCTTGGAAGAATTGGGTGCAAAATAAAGAAGGCAGAATCATAGAATCTATGAGAAACTTTTCAGATCATCTAGTCTAGTCTTTCTCAATCTTAGCTACTTTAAGGCTTCAATTCCCAGAATCCCCCAGCCAAGACTGTATATCTGGGGAATTCTGGGAGTTCAAATCCTCATATCTTAAAATAGTTTAGAGGATGATGATGTTATCCATTCAGTTGTGTCCGACTCTCGGTCATTCTATGGTCCAGGTTTCTCCTCATCTTCCGATCTCGCACTACTGTGAGTTTTTCTACGGTCTTCTGGGGTCTACCCTGCTCTAATCCAACCTTTTAATTTTAACGCTTAATCAAGTCATTGCAAATCCAGCCGAATTGATTGACACGTGTGTGCCTATCCAGAACAGATTGATTAATTCAACAATTGATGCATCCGCCCTTGAACAAGAAAAATGAACCTATTAATTTTTGATTGCCCCAAAGAACCCTCTCATCCCAGACTCTTTCCTGACAGGTAGAAAAGGAAATATTATTCTCAAAGTGAGGCTTGAGAGCTCTTAAGATGCTGCCAGATTCATTTCAAAATTTCTCCAGGAAAGCACTTTTCAGCTTCGGAGGTGGCCCCGTCTCACTCTTATAATTATTGGGATTTGTAGCAAACCAATTTGAGATGGCAACATCTGGTTAAGCTCTGTTGGGTTTGAAGGCTATGCAGGGCGAGTCTTCAGCAGTACTTGGAAGGGAGACCTGGGATCTGAGGTCTACAGCACGTTTGGGGATTTCCTGGAAGAAGACTGTAAACAAACAACTTTGGTCATTGTTAAGAAGCTGCAGAAACCAGCAAAAAAATTAAAACGACCCATTTCCATATAAAAAAGAGAGAGAGATAAATTTTATTGTTTCACCTACTGGATGCTTCAAGAAAGACCAAAAGAGGGTTTATGACCAAGATAGGGTTGTTTTTAAAGCAACTAATAACCATTTCATTAAAAAGAAATCTGGATTTTTACAGGCCATTTGATTCCATTACTGCAACATTACTCCACAATGGTATAAAG